TTTGGTGCCCAACTGGGGATTGTGACTGGATATAATTCAGAGTTTAAATTACATTGCTCTGTAACTCTGTGAAATTCAAGGATGAATTTCAATATAGCAGGGGACTGTCACGGTTCAGAAGTGTTCACTTATTAGGGGAGAAGGTGTGAGAGCGGCCGGATAGCTGTCGGTCGAGCCGCAATAAAGTATTCTGAAGGTCTCAGGTTCGAGTACCGGTCAGGCTGCACATTTTTCTCACCCTGCGACACACAACCAAACAAAATAACGAAATAGCAGTAACCAGACACCATAGTTTGGCAATATATGGCAGCACTTAAATGCAAAAGTGGAGTTCTATTGTTAATTTCAATTGTCATTTTTGTCTAAATGATCTGTTGAGTTGAGAAAAAGTTTTGAAACATTGTTACATTTTTTGATATCAAAGTTAATGTAATCTAATGACGCATACGTACTTAATTAGTTAAAAGAAATTACATAGATCACATCTCAACAGGATTTGTCCGCCATTTTGAAAAACGGCCGAAGGATACATGCCGCTTTAAAATCTGTTATTTATATTTATGGCAAATGTTGATTACAAACAATCATTGAATTGTTAATATTGAAGTATGGGACAAGTTATTGGACCTTGATTCTTTAGAATAAACGTGTATGGTTATGAATGACAAGTTTAACATTTGTAGTACCCTTCTGGGCAAAATTTTCGGGTAATTTGGCCTAGTTATCGGAAAAATTGGCCATATTCAACTACAGCTTAAGATTAGTTCTAGCCCATTTAGAAATAAAACAATGGACAAGAAAGAAAGTTTAACACCCCTGGCAAGTTTAAAAAGCATTTATTTCCATGAATTTAATACTTTTAGAACCTTGCAGGTTTCTTCAAAATGCCCTATGAAAGATGCAAAATTTGGCGATTTAGCTCAATTTCACGCATATATTCTAAAGAAAATAAATACTGTCAGAATATTCAATCACATGCACTGAAATAACAGTTCTATTCTGAAGATTTATACTAATTTTCAAAGTGCTTTGTTATTAAACAAAGTCGCAGGCAATTTTAAAAAACATGTACAAACCGTGGTAATATTATGCCCGTGTGATTATTACGAGACACCGGTAATAATATGCAAAATTATTCTGACTTAAATTTAACAGCGGTGTATACAAATGCGTAAACAGTAAGGAAGTCACTCACTCCAAGTGTCTAATTAATTATATATCTGTTATATATATGTTTTTTAAACAACCTGAATATTGAATCTTTAAAATATTTAAAGAATACTATGACGCTGATTATTAAAATACTATTATCATAATCTTAAAGGGACATTTTGCCCATCCAAGTGTATAAATGAGTGAACAGGTGAAAGTCAAAATAACTTTTCATTTTGCCATAATTCCTTTCAATATAAGCAATTATATCACATTAACAATGCATTCAAACACTTTGTTTCGTAAATATCCAATAGTATAAACATGTAACGTTCAGTTCAAAAGGGTGTGGTTGTCTTTTTATATTCAAGGCAGATTTTAATTTTATCCAGACAAATTTCCAATACGAAGGGTTGGTCAATCAACATTTTAACAGTCAATATTTTGAAATATATAGTCAGTTAAGTTCATTTTGAACATATGAGCATAATGTCACTTTCACTATAATTAAATATGGTCAAATTCTCTTAAATCGCTAAGTAGCACTAAGAAGGAAGGCAACAAGTAAATACGGAAGCATACAGGGGACATTTCGATTTTTTTTCTTGTCCTATATCGTGGCCATGAGATATAACCGAGAAAGTGAAACACGCGAAAAAAAAACGTGTACATGTACTTGCATTCAAAGTGAGCATAAATGAATCTTTTCAATCGTTCTTATGTTTCGTGTTACATGTATTATCTCATATAATATCTAAATTTATTTGATAGTAAGTAAACAGTTGAATACAAATCCTCAGTACAAGAATTCAGCTGCCAGAGACTGAATGATTCAAAATACTGAACCATTCGTAAGAATTTTAAACAGATTGGCAAATTACAAAACATTAAAAGATCTTTGTTATGAAAAAACTGGTCAAATGATTTTAGAAGTCAATGTAACATTAATATGTTATTTTATGCATTCATATGTCTTTATTAATTTAAACGAATTTGATAAGCCAAAAATCTGAGTTGTCTTAGTTGAATATTTTTAATATTTAACAGACACAACTTCGTACTGAAAAAAATTACTGTGTGACAATAGAATAAAAGACAATATTTGGCACATATATCATAGATTTAAGAGTAAAACATCAAGATAAATTATGAGAATGACATATCATGTAGCTTGGGTATACAATAATTGCCTTAATCATATATTAGACTTCGGTCACATCTGGTCATTGACATTTATCATCGTGAAGGTTGGATCGAGTCAATCACATTATCACATTACCTCCCTTGGACCAAATTTCCATTTATGTTAAATTTTCACTTATTAATGATATTATGATATACAGGGTTTAAAGTACATAAAACTTGTATTTATGCAGAAGGATAGCTAATAACCAATTACAAGGATTAAAGACTTGTGATTATTAGATATTAAATCAAGATAACACTAAAATACTGTTTACATTTTATATGCATTAATTTTATAGATCTACAATTTAATATGACAAAATGCATTTTTTTCATTTTAAAAATTGTACATAAATAAATGGGATAATTACTTGTATAAGAGATACAGCAGGAGAGACAGTGGTTATTTGATACACAATAGTAGTAAATAAAGGGGAAATTGCAACTTCATAATCTGAAGTAATACGCTTATAGCGTTTAGCTTAACTAAACGGAATATCTTTTTTAGCTCACCTGAGCATATGCTCAGGGTGAACTATTAGGATCACTCATCGTCCGTCGTCTGTCGTTCGTCGTCCGTCGTACGTCGTCCGTTGTCCGTTCACACTTTTAAAACGACATCTTCTCTGAAACCACAAGGCAGATCATAATGAAACTTCACAGGGATGTTCCTTGTGTGCAGCCTTAACAAAGTTGTTCAAAGAATTCCATTCCATGAAGAACTCTGGTTGCCATGGCAACCGATAGAAAAAACTTAAAATATCTTCTTTTAAAAGATCCAAAGAGGTAGAGCTTAGATATTTGGCATGAAACATCTTTTAGTGAGTGTCTATCAAGTTGGTTCAAATAAAAGCCCTGGGGTCAAAATTGGCCCCGCCCCGGGGGTCATTGAATTTCCTTATATGCATATAGTAAAAACTTAAAAAATCTTCTCTTAAAGAACCCATAAAGCAAGAGCTAAGATATTTAGCATGAAACATCTTCTAATGGGTATCTACCAAGTTTGTTCAAATTAAAGCCCTGGGGTCAAAATTGGCCCGGCCCCAGGGGGTCATTGATTTTCCCTATATGCATATAGTAAAAACTTATAAAATCTTCTTTTAAAGAACCCAAAGAGCTAGAGCTAAGAAATTTAGCATGAAACATCTTCTAATGAGTGTCTATCAAGTTTGTTCAAATAAAAGCCCTGGGGTCAAAATTGGCCCCGCCCCAGGGGGTCATTGATTTTCCCTATATGCATTTAGTAAAAACTTAAAAAATCTTCTTTTAAAGAACCAAAAGAGCTAGAGCTATGATATTTAGCATGAAAGATGTTCTAAAGGGTGTCTTCCAAATTTGTTCAAATAAGAACCCTGGGGTCAAAATTGGCCCTGCCCCGGGGGTCATTGATTTTCCTTATATGTGTATTGCAAAAACTTTAAAAAAAAATCTTCTTAGAAAAAACCCAAATAGCTAGAGTTTAGATACTAAACATGAAACATCTTCTAGTGAGTGTCTACAAAGTTTGTTCAAATAAAAGCCATTGGGTCAAAATTGGCCCCGCCCCGGGGGTTATTGATTTTATTTATGTGTATAGCAAAAACTTAAAAAATCTTTGAAAAAACCCAAATAGCTAGAGTTTAGATATTAAGCATGAAACATCTTCAAGTTAGTGTCTTCAAAGTTTGTTCAAATAAAAGCCCTAGGATCAAAATTGGCCCAGCCCTGGGGACATTAATTTTCCTTATATGTGTATAGCAAAAACTTAAAAATCTTCTTTGAAAAAAAAAAACAAAAACAAATAGCTAGAGTTTAGATATTAAGCATGGAACATCTTCTAGTGAGTGTCTTCAAAGTTTGTTCAAATAAAAGCCTTGGGATTTAAACTGGCCCCGCTCTGGGGGCCTACATACAGGTGAGCGACTTCAGGGCCATCATGGCCCTCTTGTTGCAAGAAATAGGACGACATGGTGAAAATGTTATACACCGATGACTGGTACCATTTTTCATGCAGGATACCATTATCAAAATTTACAATGTTATCATCAAAAATGTATTTTTTTCTTTATATTAACAGTTTGTAAATTTAATATAGTATAATATCAAAATATCGCGATAGAGAGTTCCGTACGACGGGACTTATCGGCTGAAGCTGTACTAGTTAATTTTCCTGTAATGCAATCTTGAAATCTAATTAAAAAATCCATATAGAGAACATTGTTCAACTTACCGATGCCATGAATTCTGATTTTAAAAGTATTTATCAAATGTGAACAGAGACGGAATAGACTTGACATAAGCTAAATTAACATGTAGATGTACTAGTTAATTCTCACGAAATGGAATCTTGAAATCTTTTTATCAATTTAGAGAACATTGTGGTGATAGAGATTACGACTAACCGGAATTCTGATTTTAAAAGTATTTAGCAACTGTGCACAGAGATGGAATAGACTTGAAATAAGCTTAATAAAAAACAATGCAAGAAAACAATACTTGTCATGGTTAAGTCAACAACTTATCACAATTTAATATCTACAAATACCTTCAAACTACTTTTATATTCATATGCGCGCTATGAAAACATGTCATTTAATGCAGAAAAAGTATGTTGAATTCAATGCAAACTTAACTTTTAAAACGACATAAAAGATAAATTTATTCTTTTAAATGTATCTACGTACCAAATTTAAACTCCACTTCATTCTTCCAAATAAAGGAATATGTATCGTTTATCCCAACAAATCCCAGCACCGATGTACGTGAACTCGACATGAATTAAACATTCAATGTTACCTCAATCGTTGAAAAAAAACACATATTTTCCAAATCAGGAAGTTTATAGATCTGTTAAATTGTGAGGGTTTTATTTATAATAAGAGTTACAAGAAGCTCTACCACAATAGCTTATTTACATATCTTAACGGTTGAACGATTTTATCTGGTATTATGTTTCTACACTGAATAAAATTGGCATTATTTATACTTGATGAACTAATATTTATTGAAATACATTTAACTTCAAGTGTATTAAAGCCAGTTTAAATTTTTGGAAAAAGAAATGTTTATCTCATTAAGAGCGAATGGCACATACAAGAAATATTTAAAACACTATATATAATAGCACCAAAATATTATATTTGTTATGTTATTAAAAATGGCTTGACACCCTTTAAACTTAAGAGTATACTGTTATGGCATGAAAATTAATGTATTTATGTCACTGACGCGCAATGCAAAACATATATGGATATACGGAAGTATACGGAATCCCGTATACATGTATCATTGATATGCGGATAAGATGCGGGAAATTTGAAAAACGGAAATGTACGGGATCGTTTATGAGTCCGTATATGACTTATGTACGGGAACATTTTAGAACCAGATCAATACGGAGCTTTATTATATACCGCAAATGCTGATTCTATATATAAAAAAGAGACTTAAGATTAATTCATGAATAACCTATTTCCTATAAGAGGAAAGAAATAATCTGATCTATCATTTTCAGACATTTGTCTCAATAATCTGAAATAGTAAAGGTTTAAATCAATGTAATATTTCCTGGATTTATTCACATGTAAATTGCATACTGATACTATGGTCATTGAACGTGTAAAATATAGATTTTTGACAGCGTTCATCGCATGTATAGAACAAAATGACCATGTACATACAAATATATCTTTATTTATATAGAGATATGCAACTCAATACATTATTCTAGCTTAAGTACTCTTGTTTCGCTTTTTGCCTTTCATTTCTACTTATTACTAGTAATTCAAGTGAAAGAGAGTTGGAAGTGTTTTCATATAATGATTTATATCGTAAATTCAGACATCGCAATGTACAAAAAATAGCGGTTTTATTGTTGTGTATCTCAGGTATTTCAATAGAAAAATTATATATCACACGTTTATGTGGTTCAAGTTTCAAAACATTTCTTTAATTATTCTTCTGACATTTATTACCTGCAGTTTATTTACGGGAGAAAACTTTTCAAATTTGATAGATATAGATTTGTTCGACGGTTTGCAAAATGATATAGAACAATTAAAGTCAAAAGTCACGGTGTTAATCTCAGGTGATTTTAATGCAAGGACATCATGCAAACATGCCTATTTATTATATGATCAATATGTGCCAGACATCATCTGTTGATACACACTGGCAAAGATGGTTAATAGACAAAGGGAGAAACTCACATTTTAATAAATTAATCGACATGTACAAAGCTACCGCCCTTACATTTGCAAAAGGTCGCTTAGGTGACGATTTTGGCATGCTATTATTACAATGATGCTAGCTTAATAGAATATTTATTATTGTGTGAAAAAGATTTTGAAATGATAAACAATTTTCATATATGTAAATTAAATAGATTTAGCGACAATGCTGCTTAAAATTTACACATTTGGTGTAATTCAGGTAACGCAAATGGATCCAAAGTATTTAATCATGAGTATATCAAATGGAGCGACAATGATAAAGAAACATATCGTTTTGTAATAATAGCAAAACGGCTTGTTTTAAATGATATATTAATGACATGTGATGTAAAAAAGTATTAAATATGGTGGCAAAAGTGTACTATTCGTGTTTTTGCCCCGCGATTCCGCCGAACAAAAAGTCAAGAATTAACAAAAACATTACAAAACATAACAACCATTCTATCATAATACACGTGAGTGATTTTGACGAGGCACTAGGTGCTTATTAAAGTCAATCTCCATAATTAATAAATTACTATAAAAATACATAACTGGTAGATGAACAAGTTTTGTTTGTTTGTTTCATTTTACGCCTTTTCCCAAACGTATTTCAGTCATATAGGCGGATAGTTCCCTAACCATTGTTCCTGGAGAGTAACAACAGTACTAGACTACCTTCATCCGTGCTAAACTACCAAAGCATCTCCCGGGATCGAACCCACGCCAGAGAGGTAACTGGATTAGAAGTCATCGACTCTATCCCCTCGACCACGGAGGCGGTAAAGATGAACAAGTAAAGAGCATATTACAAATGTGTACCACAACCGAATCTATTGATTGTATATCAAATATTTTGAAAAATAAATCACAAATCTAGGTTTTGTAATAAGGCGCTTAAAATATTGGTAAATGATAAATATTTATGAATAATATTTTAATAGAAAAGAAAACTACAAGAAAGAAAAAGAGAAGACATGAGAATAAGATGACACCAACGACTGGAGTTTTGAAAACATATGTTTAAACACATAGACAGTAATTAACTATAAATTATTGTTTTAGTGTGTATCAATGTTTTAGTTAAATCGTAGAACATACTATGCGATATTTAATTGCCAGGTAAACCTTCCACTATCCATTATGTATTTATGGACAGCCAATGATAAGTCCTTGTTATCAGATTGAGATAGAGAAGCATCCCCAAACAGCAGAGTATGGAGACAGGAGGCAACTTGAGTTAATCGACGCACCTTTGTGAGAAGGCATATACGTGGCAACTATAAAAATGACATTGGAGAAGATAATGATAATTGTTTTCATGTTTCCACAGTGACAGAGGGGCGATTGGACTATATTACGAATGAAAAGGTGATAATCTAGTTTGCTACGATTCATGCGAAGCCTAACATGTACATCCTGTACCATTAGTGATCCGATTTTAAAATACGTGGGCGTACTGTCACGGATTGGCATAACTTTACTTTTAAAAGCTTTAACAGTAGGTGAATTTCTCTTCCGTCTGTTGATTATTATTCCAATCACGGGTAAAAAGAATTGTAATATTCGTTAGTTCGGGAATGTACGGGTTTCAAGTGGTCTGGATGACAAATATTTACAGGCTGTTGTATGTAATGTAAACTCAAAATGTCAATTTGCATAGTTAAATTTAAAACGGATTAATGTGATGTATCTCTGAAAGATTGCATATTGACATTCCTTGTTGCATGCCCTTTTTATTGACCAACTTGCAAATATTTGTTTAGATAACTTGAAAGACACGAAACAAATAAAAATATAAAAAATACAGCACATATGGTCTTTTTGTAAACTTTTAAATTTATATATATCACCATTTTTTATCTATCGTTTCGATAAATATCATGAGTTATTCAATGTGAATGTGCCTATAAATCTTTTTTTTCTCAGAAAACAGAACGGTATTCGAAAGGATGCGGTAGCCTAGCAAGCGAGCCAGAGTGTCAGTATTAGATATGTAATTTTAAAAGTAATACAAGAAAAATTATAGGAAATCATGATAATACACTTTAATTATAGAGAATAATTCTATATGACAATAATATCCGACATGCTTTTGAATATACATGTACATTTGATTTATTTACATTAACAAAGAAGGAAGGAAGGGTGATATATTTCACAGCGAATATAATTAGCGTTCATATTTCCTCCCCCTGTATTTGCAAACCGACATATCTGTTAAATAAAAAAAAGAACAAAAACAAAACAAACAAACAAACTTTTTGTTGACTTTTGCTCTGAAAACTATTTACTGTGACAGAAAATCATAGTGTAACTAAGAAAATTAACTAGAATACCAATATCTTTAATTCAGTGCTTAACGCTGTACAGACGTTTGAAGGGTTGCTATTGTTACATCACAATGCAGCGCCAAACAGCGCGTGCAAAAAAGAACGCTTTTTCAATGTTGCAAATCTTCTGACTATGAACTATAAATATTGGCAAACTTACATATATATGTAAAACACTGGATTGCTATATGCGTAACTATGTTTATATAAATTTATAATCTGTTGTTACCATGCATTTTGCATAAGAAACATCGAAAACATCTTAATTTTGATTCTCGAATTGCACGTTCAGAGAACATCACATCTAATCCTGTTTACTACAATGTTTCCTAGAGAAGGGTTATTGTACTGGGTGGTTTACGTTTGAAGTTATAAATCTATCTAATTTATTATTCTTCCAATTTTTTTTCTGATTAATAATAATCTTTTTATATTATACATATTTTAATTTGAATAATATTCGTCTCAAACGAATTCCTAGAACATATTTTATCCATTCCACGAATTCCCTATACAGTATATCAACAGCGCATATTTTTATCATTTTTATGATTGTCAACCCATGAGGTCCAAATACTTCATTCGAAAAGTATTATAAAGGGATTTCTTTGTTTTGGCTTGGTTAATGTTACATGTTTTTGTCAACGTATGTCTCGTATTGTACACCGTAAATCATGTTATGCACATGTCCACATGTTCAAATGAACAAAATCGTACAATGGGCTCATAAAATGGCGGCCTGAACGCTCGGTAAAAGCAATAAAATTGAAGTAAGCATACAGTAAACGTTCATGTAAACCTAGGCGCACGGAACCCTTGTAAAAATCCACATACTGTTCTATTATTGGTAACTTTGTGGCTTTCTCTGTTTATGTCTATTCGGTTTGCTTGAATAGTATACATTCCCATCTCAACATTATTCTGCTCTGAAAATACACATGTACATTAGCTTAAAAGTATTAACAATATCATTTATATGCATAACATGCCATATCATTTTGTAAATTATTTTGGAAAAAAGTCAATTGTTTTGCATTTCATACGCAAAAAAAAATGTTCCTTTAAGTGTCCCTTTAAATTATAAGCATGTTAACGTATATGGAATATATATTGTATATCTTAAATGTTAGCATTGCGTTTATATTATCGTAAAAACAGCATCAGGGAATTTTTTGTAAACTATTAAAACTATATTGATCACCATAAGTTATTTATTGTTTTGCTTAATATCATTAGTCATTCAAATTTAATGTGCCTATGAATATATATTTTAATACGAGACTTTGAACATTTAAAAAACATTATAATTTATAAAAAAAAAGAAATATATTGTTACAT